CTGACACGGAAAGGGTGTCTGATCCATGTGAAGTAACCCACTCCCCGCGATGCGGACTTCCTACAGTCATGTACATTTGTATTGGCCTTCTTCCCTGCGGGATACGCAACAAGGCGTAATCATGTGCTTCACGAACCGCATTTAGGACATTGTTAAGAATCCTATCATGTGGCAGGTTGTGAAATCTGCCGTATGGGGCGTACAGCCTCGAAGGGATGGTGCATTTTGCTTGAGATCTAAGATGACTTCCTCAGCACTCTGTACGATCCAACAGCGTCGTACACCTACTTCTTGATAAAGCTCATTGTCCTTACTGCGCAGAGACTTGATCACGCCTTGGAGAGCATAGCTAAGTGAGCGGGAGGCCATTGTTGTACTGGCAAGAGGCTTATGAGGGGGTCTGTTATGCAAACTGGAGACCGAAGACTGGCGAGGTATTGTGCGAAGTGAAGACTGAGAAAGGTTGTTTTGTTGAGTAACACCGAGAATTGGGCGAAGACCAGGCGGGGATTTATGTGCTTTAAGTGCAAAGTAGAGATAGGGCAGGGTGTTAGTATGTCGATAGCCCCAACGCTGATTGAAAAGCACATGGTGGTCAAGGATGCCGGCCACAGATTCCGATGTCGAATCGTAGGTAGGACTATCAAGGTGTTGTGATAACTTATACCCGTACCAGCGCTTGGAGCAGATTGCCATGTTGTGCGATGTTTTATCAACAGGCACTATAGCAAATTGCTGTTGTAGCTGCCGTAGAGATGTATTAGCAGCACGCGAGGCAGCTTGAGTGGGTGCTTGGTACTGTGACGTAGATAGATTCCGTTGGCATCTTGAAAGAATTGTTGTGCGCCATCTGCGCAGCTGAGAGAGAGTGTCGGCAATTAGAGACTCATTGTTGCGTGCTGATCTCATGGCTGCTATGAACTTGGCAATACACTCATCCAGGCCGAGTTTCAATGCTTTCATCACATCTCTGGTGTTGGCATTGAGGCAGTACTTGGAGCCTTCAAAGAAGAGAGCCCGCAAGTCTGTATCTTGTATAACAGTGTAGTCCACTGTAGCTACATGACCATCAACAATGTCCGCACAATGTGGAAACGCTTGTCGGCAGGGACAATTGGCAGGGTCTGGAAGAGGCATATTGCTTGTTATGGTAAGTGCCACTTCTGTAAAATTGCAGAACTGGACACAAATGGGGGGCACCATCTTATCACAGATGCGTATCTCCTTGGCAAGAGCAGGTCATGGGTGTAATTCAGCGACCTCTGGTAGCCGAAGGACGCCTCGTAGTTGTGTGGTGCGAGCAACCTGATCTAGTGTGTGTGTGTGTGTGTGTGTGTGTGTGTGTGTGTGTGTGTGTGTGTGTGTGTGTGTGTGTGTGTGTGTGTGTGTGTGTG